TTTGGTTCTGTGCATTAAATTGATATCACTTTCATACAGAAACCTAAAGATTATAAATATAAACGTTTTATTCGTACTCCTAGGAGTTTTTTAAATATTTTCCCAGGTTACCTTTATATTAAACCATATTAACAAAGATCATTCAATTAAATTGATAGATTTATATACACATGAGACATATTTTCACTTTTTTTTAAATAGTGCACCATGTTTATGGATTGGTCAAAAACCAATTTATTTAAATGGTGATTATGAATATGCAGCTCAGTCAAAATGTCGTAATTGGCAGTCAACTTATCCAGGTGAAAATGGTTTAGCTGTATCTTTACCAATTGTTGACAATGCACCAGGTTTATTTTCTAAACAAAATTTTAAATTAATATCATGTTCGAAATTTTGTCGAATGTTATGCATACAAATCACACCATCCAATACGTAATCAATTATAATTATTATGATAATCAATATTCGATTTATGTATCCGTATACACTTATTCCTGTTCTACATCCAGACATTTTTTTATCGATTAATATACATATATACTGCTACTAAATGAATTAAACGTTTGTCAATTTAATGAGATTTTCAAAGTATTCAACAGCTGAAAACAAGTACATAGTTGTTTGTTATTCTCCTGAATTTGTTCACTATTCAATACGAAACGATACTACTCTTTTTTCAGTACATACTAATATAACTTACTGATTCCTTAATCGTAATTGAACATTTTCGAGTTTGTCGATTTTAATTTCAGTGTTGAAATCCAACAATCAAGCATTTATATTCTCTCATTTATTGAAAAAAAAAGAATAAGAAACCGATTGTTTTTTGTCAAAATTTATTTGTCTATCTATTTATCTATCGTTTTTGACACCTAAATCCAACGTTTACATATACCTACTACAAAAAAGAACAGTTTCGAATTTCATTTGAGTTTTTCACCGACGCACCAATACATACACACATACACACAGATACACATGAAGCACGATTTCTGATTTTAATGATTTCAGTATTTCTATCATTATTATTATTATTACTCCATATGTTTGTCTTTTGTTCAAAATTTTGTGGTATAATCTTTTCCTCATCTGCATGAATCACTATTTCTATGCAACCAATTGGAACAACTGAGGAATTAATAATTAGCTTTTGTGCAATTAATTTTGTGTGAAAGTGAAGCAGAATTATCTGGTCAATTTACATTGGTTTTGTTACTTACTTATATTAATTGTGTGCAAATTTTATGTTGGAACAGTTAAATATGTAATGCACTAGAATAATGGAAATATAGACATATATTTTATACGTGATATAAATTTGTAATTTATTTTACGCTAAAAAGAAATAATACTAAATTCATTATACCATAGGCATTATATGATTTGGGTTTACATGGGATTCTGTATAAATTATTATGAATTATACCTACTACTTATTAAATAAGTAGCAAACAAAACCAATGGCATTGATTACTAAATCTTAGCAGTCTAATCAACAAATTATTAGCTTAAAACAAACAATATTAAATGTTTTAATGAGACTAATTTCTACTCCAAATTGGAGATGAAACTTAAAGTAGTTTGGCACGGTGATTCTGATGTGTAATATATACCAACAGTTGATCTTATATTAATTGATATCGCATTATGTAATCCTCAATGTTGAATAAATTCAGTTGGCCAGGTTCTAAAGTGATCACCAGTTTAAATGAAAGCGTCTTTAACTGTGGTTCCTAATACTAAATGTAAGAATCCTATCTTCATTTAGTTATGAGCTAAAATGATAAAAGTATGTTGTTGAAGTTCAGATATATTGGTTATTAGGTTGGCTGTCAAGATATTCAACTTCGAGGTGGCTTTTGCCACATACTTGTATTAGTTGAAGATTCGTTGAAAACTTGATGGCAACTGAACAAATTTTTCTTCATAGTATGAAACCCTTCAGATGTACATACTCAAAACCTTCACGGGTGTGAATCCAGAACTTTCAGTTCTCATGTCGAGAATTGAAGTGAAATCCAATAGTCTAGATTTTAAGGTTCACTTAGTGAGTATTTTATTCCAAGTATCACTCAATATTTTCATTAGTAATATCTATCTCACTTCCAGTATCATTTAACTTCAACTATCGTAACTTTTTACCATAACTTTGAGAATTTATCTCTACATTAATCACTAACGATCACACTACATGTATGTGAATATAATTTCTGCTCAGCTTTCACCACTGATTGAGGTTATCTGGGAAACCAATGAAAATCACTTGTCACCAGGCCTATGTTCTACAGGTACCTCATCCATGATCGAATCTATTAGCTTTAAGTCTTGAAGAGTAGATTATCGCACAACTTGTGAATTAAAATATAATAACAAGAATAATTCAGTTTTAATTAAATTAAGACATACGGCGAGACTAATTTATGGACGACCTTTGAACGAATTTTAAGTGACCTTGAGAATATTAGTCAATCAGCGAACAGTAGGTATTGAGTAAAAATATATTATACAAAACCAAGGAAATATAGTGGATACACTTCTTATACGTGGTTCAAAAACTTGTTAAGGTTAGAAAGAGGTTCAGTGGTTCTAAAATCGTAATGCATGCAGTAGAGGAAATCTACCATACGGCTACAGAATAGTCGGCCTCTGGAGCCATGATAAAGTCTCAAAAACTCTTTCAGCCTCGACCACATAGTTTCAATATTGTTTATGTGCACTTCGGTTGTTGAATGCACAAAATGCTACTTGTGGATAACGACACGATGCACATAGCCAAGCCTATGTAGGAGTCTGTAGGCTCTCCAAACATCCGTATATATTGTAGTACCTAGCTGCAGCCAGTGTTACTGGTACTTTTATTATCCAGTTCGCGATAATTGTCATAGTTTGCCTCAGTTAGGAATTATATATAGGGTTTTCATCACGAACTGACATCAGCTATGATGCTAGAAATTTATTTAGCCAAATGGATGAAGGGCTTTCGCGTTAAAATCCGAGATCTATTATCTTATACCTGATTGATTCGTCCACAAATTATAGTCTCACCGTTTTATTTGTTATAACCGCCCAATTATCACGTTTTGTACAAAATTCCCTGTGAACCGAATGTACGTTAACACTAAGCACTGAAGTTGGCGCCGTAACCTTGAAATCTCTAAGACGTCTCTGATTGGCTCATCCATAAATTAGAGTCTCGCCAGACATACAACAACTATCTAATTTAATCTATGTATCTTCATCACCTTTAAATTTTATTGATCTCACCAGTTCTCTTTAGGTGTCGGTTAAATTCATCTTCAGACAAATAATTAATAACCAATGTTTTGAAATCACTTTTACGTAATCAAGTGATTTGTGATTAATTTGACCTATCAAAGCTTTCGTTAGTTAGTTATACAGTTACGATAGACATTTTTAAAAATCTATGCCAGTATCATAGATAATTATATTTCTTGTTTTTTCAATGAATTCACACAATAAATTCTTTTATTGTCACTCGAAATTATCTGGTTGCGGGCCAGTAAAGTGATTGATTAACCATTAAAGTCATGAGCACTTAGACTGCCGGGTTACAGGATTCATCTATTTAAAATTTGACAATAAATTTATGTCGTCATCTTTCAACCAAAAGGCGTAGTTCAGAAATGTCAAGTATACTAGTCTATACGTGTCCCAGTTAATTTAAATGATGTATTGGCAATCTAGCAATTACACTCCCTAATCTAACTTCAACGCATCGGAATTAGTGATAAGACATGGTTTAGTAACTGATATAACGAATAGTTCGATATAATACACACAGGTATTGAAGAATGACTGAAGCCTTATCGATGATGAAATTTGACAGTATAATTGGTAGGACATTAACTGAAGGGAGTTTATTCGAATTCTATCTTGATTTCGGATTTCACCCCATGTTTTAATACATGGTTATATATATGCGGTCATCTAATGACGATGCTTATTAAGAGACTTTAGTGAAACTCGTTTACCATGAACATCTGTATACTTGCCAACCATGATCTGTCCATACTTTTAAGTATAAAGGAGTACAATATTTCGGAATACTGTTAACAGTAGAATTTATAACACACATTTCTTTGACGGAGTTTTGTTCAGACTCAGAGAACAAAACCCCATCAAAATCATCCACCTGAGCTACAAATCTTCTCCCAGCATTTCCTTCCAACTAGAACTCGTCAGATGGATGTTACGGTATCCTAGTATTAATGTTTACAGTGGGACTCCAACATAGTGCTTTCCAACTAAACTAAAACTTTTAAATGAAGTCTATATCAAGGTAATCAGTTCAGGAACTGTACATGGTAGCAGAGAGTGGTCAATTCCATTCCTGCATAATATTAATAACAACAATAAGAAATTACAAACACTAATATTGAAATAAAGTCTCGAATTATGTCTTAAGTTAACATATATATCCAATTTTACACTGACAGACTAATTATTAATTAAGCATTTGACTGAGTGAAATAGTTATAATCCAAAATGATCCAAATAGATCTTTTTTCATGTACACAGAAAGAAAAAAACAGGTAAATCTAATTAACACGTTTTTGAGAATTTAAATGTATGTACAAAAGATATACACAACAAAGCTATTACATTCATAGTTCAATATCTCTGTCAATGTATTTTAGGGATTAAGTCAAAATGATCATATTCAATGTGTCCACAAGAGAAGAGCAACTATCAATGATAATAATAATAATAATAATAATAATAATAATAGTGTTCGCCTCAGAATAAATTATATTTTGAAGAAGAAACATTAAGGAATGTTGTAATCTAATATCATTGTGTTCATAAGTATACTTGATTGGTATTTTTCAAAAAGGGAATGTTTCACAAATAACTAGAACACTTTCAAATAGATGAGTGTGTTTTATTTCTCTAATTATTTTCTTCACAACTATACACATGTAATCTCTATTTCTTTTTTCTTCCTTTTTTTAGTTGGAAAAGAAAACAACTCAACATTAGATCTCTTCAAAAATTTCATTTGTCCATGTGTTCTTTTTATGTAATGATCTTTTGAATGTTTTCATATTCATAAAATTATTAAAATGTTGATTATTATGCATAGATGATGATGTCATAGACGATGATGTCATTGACGATGATGTGGTTGAAGTTGATGAGGATACAGATTCTGTAAATTGATTATTAATTAATTCATTTAAATTACGTGTAAATCGATAAACATAACGTTTTCCAGAAACTTTTTCAATAATTTTTTTATCATAATAATATCGTAAACCACGACTTAATTTTTCATAATTCATTTTTGGTTTATTTTTTCTAGCACCCCATCGTTGTGCTACTTGATTTGGTTCTTTTAATTTGAATTCATTTTCATAACCAGTCCATGAAATAAATGCATTTGCTTCAGGATCTTGTAATTCTTCTAATAAAAATTGCCATAATTGTATATGTCCATGATGATTGGTTGTTGGTGTTATTGGACAATAGAATGATGTATTGTATGGTTTGTCCATAGATCTAATGTCATTGAAAATTAATTGAGATTTTTTATGATAATGATTAGACTGATGAGTACATTGACTAACTTTATTATGAATGAGAATAATATCACTATCACAATGATTTGTACTGACAATGTCAACAGAAGAATGGGAAGATTTGGTCAAGTTATTCGTAGGTAATTCTGGACATACTTGTATTGTATCATTAATAGAAGAATTTGTTGGTAACTGGTCTAAGTTATATTCACCTACAAAAAATGTTCAGACAAAATAGTTACTTATATGAACGATTTGTCAAAACTTGATTGAATAGTCTGGTAAAGATTGGGCCCTGAATATCAGGCAAACATCACATGAAAATTTTAACTAAAGTAGTCTCAGAGATTGAAATTTAAGAATCCCAACGCTTCGCCTGGGAAAGTTTTGATCACACCCTTGAGGAAACACTGAGGGTCTGCCCAGTGAAACGGACTATCTAAATTTCAATCATTGAGATTATTTCAAGTAACTTTTATACATAAAGGTTGTTCATGAAAATGTATCAATTACTGTTTAGCTACTAATGAGTAGGCAAATTATTATGGTGAATTGTTTTGGCGTTTATGGCTAGTGTAAGTTTATTATGAATCGAAGCAATCACCGATTTAACTTTCATCAAACTGCCTGTTTCGTTCTAAAGAGGTTTTTAGTAAAGCTGGCTTTGTTATCAAACAGTTTAACTCTGATAAAAATAACAACGAGGTTTTATTCATCGTCTACACATAACGGATTGTGTTGTTCTATTCAATTATTAGTATCTTATATCGTTACAATTATTTCCTTGTAGTAGCTGACTAGTATGTACTGGATATATACGAACTTCAAATAACACGACCGGTGATCTGTAAATCTTATACCTTTATGTCAAAATAATATTTTCATTAGTGGGGTAATAATTAAGGTTATATAAGGGCTCATTAAAATATTTTACCCATTTACTGATAAACGATGTGAACAAACAGATTTAAAAATCCCTATTTTATTTGAATGAATGGACAAATGAATCTATAAATTATACTTAAATTCTTACACATATTACGAGTTAGACTTTGATTCAGTGTCAACATTTCATATACTAGATTTTTAACAACTGAGTAGCAAGATTACGAGCAGCAACATTTATATGACAGATTTTATACTTAATGTTAATCGTTTCCTTCGTTATCTTCCCGTGGAATTAAATGACATGTACCAATTAGAATAAAGTTGTGGTGTCTTTCTGGTTATTGACGTATTGTCAGTACTATTGTAGGTCAAAACCGAAATTGAGTTCAATTTACTTTCAAGTTCAAACTGTACAAACAGTATTATGAAGGAAAATATGTCTATCAGCAATACTTTCAGTGCATGTATATATTCATTCATACAAACCACTGTATTTACAAGTAATGGCCACAAACTATTATCGTCATTAGAAAGAATACAAGTCCGAATTGATCCCTGCTATTCAAGCTAGCCAGTTCCAAAATAATTAAAACAACTGTCCACTATCTTCTGGTCTTCAAACTGTTCTCCGGCTGACAGAAAATTCATAAGACCATCAAACTTAATGATAAATACAAAAATTAGTAACTCACTTTGATCACTGCAAGAGGTTTGTTGTTGGTGTTGGGGATTCAAAACCGGTAACAATTGACAATTATTAGTATAAATTGATTGAGAGGGATATTTGTATGCTGTGAAATTATTATTGTTACATATACGATTATTATTACTGTTATTAGCATCTAGGATATGATTACTGAATCTTTCATTTTGATGGTTTAAACTATCATTATTGACATCCGAACTCAATAATTGCGAATTAATTAACGTATTATTATTAGTAGTAGTATTAAGATGAATTGTGCTAGTTGGTAAATTTAATGAGGTCGAATTATTCGTTAAAAATGAATGGTCAGGTTGTGTTGACATAGTTGTCACCATTGTCGTCGTCGACGTCGTGGTTGAGGTACTTGTCACTGTTAACTGATTACATGGAGGACAATCATTCCCACTGACTATTTCTTTTTCAAATTTAATCTATGAAATAATAATGATAATAAACAGTCAATAAGTCAACAGACATTATAAATCTTAGGTACGTCTATGTTATGCTTATCATTCCGACTAAGTTACAAATACATTCTCCCTAAATACCTGGGAAAATTATTATGTAGGAAAAGAATACCATGGCTCTGTAGAAAGCTTTACCATTAAAATAATGAATAATTATTTACACATCTCATATGTGCAGATGTAAATTACAATGCCTGATCCAAGCACAGACATATATGCAATGACCCCGACTAAGTAAATAATCTGCTCATTAACATGTTTTTGAGGCAGCATATGATATGTTAGGAAATAGTGAAAATCAATAAGTAGGTCATCACCAGATAACTCAGGATTGTACTATATTCATCCATTCAAGAGCTAATGCCTACACTGTCTGTGACTAATGAAAGACCGTATAGAATATAATGAAGTTTATATTGTCAGAATCACCTACAACCTATTGAATACAGTTGTAATCTTTACGAATCCTCCAACTGAATGATAAGTGTATGTTTAATGGTGATTAGGATGTGATGTTCTTAGTGAGAAGATGTAATGTGTAGAATCCGTCGGATTGATTGTGGTGTAATCATCTACTAATGAAATCGAATGAAGAATGTTGTGTGTGGGAAATAGATTGAAATTGAAAATGTGAATTAATGGATACTGGTTTAGTCATAAAATCGAAAAACTATGTACTCATTATGAAACAGTTAACTGTTTACAAAACAGAAAGTAATCTTTCGTCACTACATAAACGCTGATTAATACTGATCAAATGTTTTAACTATCTAATAGGCTCGTCAAAGTATTTATAAATTAATTATATGATATGAAAAGAAATGCAGGTTGTGAGATGTAACCTCAGTTTATTTACTTCAAAAGAGCATCAGTAATAGATTGAAGATTGTAATCGTTACTTACAAATGTAGACTGAATTCTGATTATAATAATAATAAATTTTATTGAAATGAATCTCTACTGATTATCATTCTACTTTCAATTTGTACGTTTGATTGAAAAGTGAACTCCATAATCAAAAGTGTTGATATCATATTTTAACTTGTTCACGTTTCATGAATTTATATTCATTCCACCAATCTTTCTTTTGTATATTACCACCTCTGAATTAACTACTTTTATGAATCCGGTGTCCACCTTGTTGTGTTAATGAGGTATGGCAACTTGGACCGATGCATATATGTGCCTGGCCTTACGTTGTAGCTGACTGACTGACTGACTGACCGATGTGAAAAATTCAAAGAGAATATTAGAATGTATTTAAATTTTTAACAATGAAACCACATTTCATGTCTCTTATAGCTCATTTATGATCAGTTACTGTTTCATAATTTAAATTTCCACGAAATGTAAATCATTTTATCAAATTCAATTATATTATTGTTATTATGAATGGCTTACTTGATCTTCCACATCAAAATGATCTGCATCCATTTGTTTAATTAATATACTGTTGTCACTGTTAAATTTTCTCATATTAGTTAATTCGTCTGGATTATTTTGCTGAATAGATGTTACTTTTTCAAAATTAGAGCAATATACAGGATTTTCAGGCATATTTTGAATATGTTCTTGACTACGTGTAATGAGTGCTAGCAAAATAATTATAAGATTTATTAAGGTATTTGTTAGAATTTTTCAAAGTTGAAGAAAAATGAATCGAAAATTTACCAATATTTTAGGATTAATTTATACTACTTGAAGTTAGTTAGTAAAAAGCGATTCAACATCAAAAAAATATTCCGAACGGTTTGAACTGACTAAGAATATGATCACTGTCTAAACACCCAACTCCACACGATATCCATCTATTATCTATTCTAAGTAAAGAACTTTGTCACATTACTCGATGACCCTGTCACTTTCGTGAATATAAGCGAACATTATATTGATGATCAAAGCACTTAAAGTTAACCACTAGATTTGACGTTGAAACCTTATTTTGCTTAATTCTGTATGATAACACTGAACAAATCACCAGATTTTTCCAGAAAATTGTCATTCAAATCAAAGCGCACTGACCTGTCTGATTAACGAAAAAATCAAAATAGTTTAACGAGTAACTCATGGCAAAATAAGCCTAGCGGTAATTTTATGTGACAGGTTCAAATCCGAAGTAGAGTACTGATTCAATAAAGAGCAGAAGAACACGTTGAAAATTTTGAACTAACATGAAATCTGTGTCTGAAGTTTACTGCCGGTCGGTCCAAACGGCCCAATATTAAAAACACTGTAAAATTGGAGCTTAAATAAGCCTATCTAGCATCCGTATTACGACTTGATCTATGGAATTCAATCACCACAAAGTAGTCGATAAAGAAAACACATATAATCATTGCATATGAGCAAAGATAGATAGTGTCTAGCAGTGGAATCCAGGACGTGCTTTTCGTCCCGTTTGAGACTCGTCAGCTGGATGTGCATGCATCTCCGAGTTGATGTTCACTCCGGGACTCGGACCCAGTACCGTTCGCTTCAAAAGCCATCGCGTTATCCACTCAGTTACTGAGGCCTGATAGCCACTTGTTTGTGCAATTACAGCAATATCGAGGCATATGCACAGTATGTACATATGCCAATAACAGACTGATCAATTGCGGTCTTAAACCTCAATAGGAAGATACATGCAAAACAATACCAAAAGAATTATTACATATGGTTTAATGAATTGTGAACAACGGTTCAATCTAAAGGTAATTTATGACAACGCAGACAGAACTTATCTAACAAACCACTCAAAGCAATTGAACAGCTTTTGGTTACCAGCGTAAGACTACTGAACCCACACAAATCAAAACAAAAGACTAGCCTTGAGATATAATTCCATAAACCTGCTGAAAAACCTCTGATTGTGTTCAAATAAGTCGAAGGTGATGTAATTATCTATAGATAGCACTATCCCAATCATATCAAAAAGTGACTGATGTCAAATCCGTGAATCATTGAATTCAAGTTCAGTGTATCATATTCTCACTCAAACCTGGAAGTCTTGGATTTGGCTCTTTATGAAATCATAAACATACACTGCTAAGGATACCAAACGTATTATAAAACAACTTTTAAGCATCCAACTCTACTTGATTGATAAACGGTTCTCCAACTGAATTTGGTCTATGACGGAAATCATCTAATAACATAAATATCTTCAAAGATATATCGATGACATTGTTTCATCAATATACTGAAGCCAACGTTAATAAATTTATACTAATCAGATTATCGGTGAACTTACATTTTGAAGTTAAGAATTACTAAACAATGCATTCTATTTAGCGAAACATTTTGAAACTTAATTATTATTACACCTTAACTGTGTAATATGGATGACATAATCATACCAAATAGAATTTATTTATATGGAATACTTGATGATAAACAATTTTAACGGATTAATTTCTAGTAAACAATTTTTAGGGTTTTTTTTTGTTGTAATAAATGGACTTCACACATGTCCATTTCACTTAGTGTATTAAATAATTCGAGAGGGCCGTAGAGCATACAGAATAATAATTGTTATAATAATAATTATTATTATTATCGAACCTCTGCATTAGTAAATGATTTGGGTTGCGGATTAGCATTCTTAAACTATCCCCCTATATTTTTATGTTGTACAAACTGATACAAGTAGAATTAGAATTTTTTATACAGTTCTAAACTGGTTTATTATATAATCAATTCATTTAAACGGATTAAACTGAAAATAAGTAAGTCATCGAGAAGTTAATTAGCAGGGGGTTTTTTGCTAAAAAAAAAAACTGATAAAAAAACTAACAGTAAAGTATAATTTGATTAGTTATTTAATTGTTTTCTCATTCTATTTCATTATCATTTGAATTTACGATTAAAAATTATAATACCTCAATAGAGAACAAGATTGGGAGCTGTGTATTTTAGTTAAACAGAATATTGCGTAACTAAGCTAGATTGTTTAAAATAATTTTTCCTTAGTAAATAAGATAATTCCATCCACCCACCCCGGTTGGTTTTCAATAAATATTGGCTTGTTGATTATTTCAGTTATACCTTTGATTAAATATACACTGATATTTTGTTAAAGTAAACAACAAACATTTTAAAAATGTGTCAATTTGATGAATGTTTTACTACTTCAAGAAAGAGAGGGGAGGAGGGAGAATGAACTGTCGGTCACAAATGAAATTACGTAACCGAGTTTCTTTATTGTGGAACTGTGCCATAACCGGCATTGTTGAGGAATTACACTTTTTTTGATGATTAATGAGCAACGTGAATCATCTTATATTTGGAATGACTACAGACAGTAATGATGAATTACTTAGTTTACTAACCAAACTGTAACTTGATCAATCGAATTATATGAACATCAACTAGAAAAACATGATGTTGTTTTCTATGCAATGATTATCACCATAGGAAAAGAAATCTCACTCCCAGGTAGAGGTAATTCTTAAGCTAAGTTAAATACCTCGATTCGGTAATAGTTCTAACTTTGACCAGGGTACAAGTGTCATATGAAGCGTCAATTCTTTCAAGCTTACTGATGAGAAAGAATAATCATATAACTCAGTTCTATATATTGCTTATAACAGTTTGATCAACTGATACTATAAATTGTACACACTTATCATGTTATCAATGAAACAATATCAAATGGTATCCAATTTAAATGATTCAAATTTGACTATTGGTCAATATAAATAATTCTTATAAAACACAATTTATTCACACATAGTTTATGATTTAATTCTAGTGCTTAACACGTGCTCTATTTAAAAAGGACAGTGGTATATTTGCTCGCTGAGTTAAATTTATAGTTTTAATCGTTTATTAAGAATCAAGACTACTGTTTTCACTCTAACTGAATTTATTTCACTTAAAGTAGCGCCAAGAGTATTTTTTCGGAAGTAACTTATCCTCTGTTCTTTTTAAGTATATTGGGTTTTTTATTTGTTACACTTTTGGATCTAACAGCTTACATTTTTACAGTTTCATATCTGGTGATAAATTTTTTGTCTCTGGGTATTGTTTGCGTCTGGCTTTTTTGGAAACCTCTGATTACTGACTATATACCGAAAAAAAGCTATTTCCATCACCCGGGTTGTCGATACCCTATGGAGAGTGGGATGCAGTGAGATGAGTACAAAGGATGGTACCACGAAGTTTGCACGAATCTAACTCCTGTGGCTTTCGAATGGTTTATTAAAAATGGTTGCGTACGTTTGTGTCAGCAATATTGCTCGAACTCAAACAGCTTGCTACCCGAAACCATTGCAATGGTGAACGCTGTTAAACGGGATACTAGCACACTTGATCGAGATGCATCAAATGGTACTCGCTCTGTCGATACACAAGTCGATATGAAGTTATCTGAAATAAGCTCAGAGTTGATTGACTTGCATGAGCCAAATGGGGAAGAACCAACTGCAAAAATGTCTGTTAGAAACAGAAGCTCAAGAATGGAGGATTCTTTTGTTCCCTACTCTCAAAATGGGCTCAGGTAGGAAACGCCTAGAAAACTGGATCGCAAGGCTACGCCTGTTTCTAGCAGGAAAAATAAAAAATTGATGGCCCTAGTCATCGACAATCATCCAGGATCTTACGGTGTGTGTGACGCAACTGTGATTGCTACTCCAATGAAAGCTGGGTACAAATCAAGAATTAGAAGCAAACTAATATTACCAAAGAAAATCCAGTCTCCCGAAAGGTAGTTAAGAAATCGAAGGCTGATCATAGTAACAGGTTAATTGTTTTTCATGAAGTCAAGGAGAGTGAAAGTTCAGAAACCATAACTCACTTTGCGTAAGTTATCCGGTTGATAAAAGAGTTATTTAATCAGCTAATGCCTCAAGATAACTCTGGGTTCACCTTGCTGAAGCTTTATAGACTAGGCAGCCAAACGAACTTGAAGAAGAATCAGACTAGGTTGCTGAAAGTGTTATTTGAATCTCTCAATGAAAAGGACTTAATAATACAAAATGGACAAATACTAAAGGGGTCAGAAATTTTTGTCCGTAAACACTTGCCGCTCGCGGACCGAAAAAAGGACGAGAAACCGAAAAAGAACTAAAACTAAGGTTATGTGCTGGTGAAAAGAACTTTAGAACTGTAAATTTTCAGATGGTTAGGCTCCAACAAAGGACGATGCCGAAACCACTCTGAGTGCAGCATGAAATAATCAAAATGGCCTTCCGATATGTTACACGAATGTCCGGAGCTAGGTGTACAGATAAACTCTGCCAAGCTGGATGTAATTGCTGTCACAGAAAATTGGCTGACGCAGTCTGTAGACAGTAGGGAACTTGATTCCGAATGATTCACATTAGTAAGAGCCAACAGAGCTTCTAAGAGTAAAGGAGGAGGAGTAGCTCTATTCATTAGAAATACTACTCCATTTACGGTTATCAGTAACAAATTCCATGAAAGTGGGAAGTGCTAATTAATTAGTTGCCTCATGAAATGCAAACGAAAAGAGCCGCTAATTGGCTTGGTCTACTACAGTCAAAGCCGTGAGGTGAGCGCGGTCTTTCTAGTCGGTTGTAATACTTGGTCATCGAGTGGTCGATGTTAAATCTTATGAAACCTTAATGAACCTACAGTAGATCTGAAGACTGAACTGTCAGAAAATCCTTTCGAACAGAAACTAGTTAACGCGGTTGTCACATGTGTCCAAGTGCAACATGTTGAAAAAGGAAGTAGGTACTATCCGGACTCCTAATTATTCTTACTAGATCTCATATTGACCCATTGTGAGGATGACGTCACAAACCTCCATGATATGACATCCTTAGGTAAGAGCAACCACCCAGTTCTAGATTTTGTTGTCACCAACTATGTGTCAGTCCAAGCCAGTCCAAACGCCAGCAAAGCAAATACACAAAGATTAGATACCCAGCATCCTCAGTAGATTTGACAATAGAATCAGAATCTTCTATTGAAACGGTTTGTGAGGTATTAGGAAATTTGTACATAAGAGTTACTGAACCGCATATCCCCACCGTGATTCAGTAATGAGTTTCTCACTCTTCTCCGTCAGAGAACAAGAATGTGGGGGATATTTAGGTTACTGGATACTGACGCTACAAAATCTCAGTATCAGGAAACTCCAAGTAGTTGTGTATTGACCCTCCACAGGTCTAGAAGATTGTATGAAGAGAAACTTCTTAAGGAGTCTATAGAAACCTTAAACGCTTATACTCGTACATAAACCAAAGGACTAAGAGAATAGGCGACATCCCAGCATTATCCGAAAATAGGAGTACTGCATCATTATAGTAAACCTCATGTATTCTCAAATTAACGATGCATATATTTTATTGGTAGCCTCTCCTTCAGGTCATACACCCTCAACACACACATACACTCTGGACACGGTTACCATTAAAAAACCCGATGTCAGTGATTTAGACAAATCCCGATGAAATGCATCCTGGGTTGCCGAAGTAATTTTCAAATGTTGTTGCAAATCCCTTAAACATTTGTAATCCAAGGTAGATTACCAAAAGACTAGAAGAACGGCACAGTAAATCCTATCTTCAAAACAGGTATGAGACACAAACTTGATAATTATCGATCCGTAAACTTATTCAGCGTGGTTTTTAAAATTTTAGAAAATATTAATTGGAAGTTGTTTAAGTATCTAGACGAAAACCGAACTCTCTGAAAAGCAACATGATTTCAGAATAGGTTGTTTATGTCTCACTAACTTATTAGTAGCCCGCGAAAGTTGGTGTGCTCTTGAAGACCGAAAGTTACCTATAGATGTAGCCTACATTGACTTCAATGGGACTTTTGACAAGTTCCTCATAACCGGCTGTTATATAAGTTTGGGACCAGTGTTGTTCCTCCTGTATGTAAATGACATTTTCAGTCTCTTATCATTATGGGTTTTGTTATATGCTGACGATGTTAAGATATTGTGACCGATAAAAGTAAAGGTAATAGTTTAGAGTTTCAAAATGACCTGGAGAAATCATTTGATTGGTCTAGAATTTGGCAGTTGCCGATATGTGCCTCTAAGTGTATTGTGGTGCATATTGAACATCAAGATACAAATACAAACACGGTGAATAACATTGGGCTACCTTTCGTCTGGCACACAATGACCCAGGAGACATAGTTAGCTAAAACTTGAAAACTACTACACACAGCCCTGCAATAGCTGTCAAAGGTTTTAGAACCGTATGGTCAATACATATAGCCTTTAACGATGTCGATATTAAAAACTTTTCGACCTTGTATACGGTATTCATTAGTCCTAAACTCACGTATTTCATACAAGCGACTATCCCCTGTATAAAAAGAGACAGTAAGGTGTAGAAAAAAGATTCAATGAACCACAACTAGGCTGATTCCTGGAATTGTAGGGCCCCCGTATAATGCCCAACTGGTTAAACTAAATCTATTTCATTCCCGTGTAGAGGAACCTGGGATGACTTGATCACCGTTTTTAAATTACTTGGTGATAAATTTGCATTTGATATCCCCTTATTTTTCTTGTCTTCCAAAACAGAATTTTAAGGGACACCCTAAAATGTCCACAATTCCAAAACAAATTTCCTGTTGGATGACTACCGAATTTTCCATCGAATCATCAGCGGAAGGAATTCATTACCTCAACACATGGTTGAAGCTCCATCTGTTGACGCTTTCAAAATAAAGTTGGATCAATTGAGAAAACGCCTTTGTCAGGACTAACACAAACCACTTGGCCTCCTGTCCTTTCCAAACTGAAACTGTAATCAAAACTTCTTAAATCTTTTTCTACAGTTTTTACCTTCTTCCTTATGTCGAGGTATGTGGGTCTTTGTTCAGATAAAACAATTATAGATACATATCGTTTTTACAAGTGATAACTAACAAGAATGTTGTGATGTTATGTTTTTGATGGTAGTATAGATTTTTTGTTCTACATTACTGTCAACCATATAATATAATTTTATGACTAGCCTTTAACTTACCTGTAGGAATATTTCCATGATGATTTTGTGAATGATTAAGCTGGTGTAGTTGTAGATGTTGAGGAGGATCATGATGACGATGATATTCATCTGTAGGTTGAGGTGAAACAGATAGATCAGAAAGATGATAAAAATGATCATATGACTTATGCGATGATAACCAATAGTTTGACATATAATCATTATACACTCCAGTTTGTTCCGATTTCACAACTGTACTGTTCAGTGTTTTATTATTATTATTATTATTATTATTATTATTATTATTATTATTTGAACCATACAAAGTAGAGCAATACAGCTCGTCCATTCTGTGATTATTATTATTGTGTAATGAATCATTAGTTTCTTTCGTGGTTTTTTTAAGTATTGATTTTAACTCAATCGTGTTAATGACCGTTGTTGTGGCTGGCGTTGTTGCTGATGTTTCTGTCGATACTAATGTTAGTGTAGGTGATATTGATGGGATTGTCGATGAGATGATTGATGTTTTTTTGTTCTTTGTTACTTCTAATGACAGCAGTTCATTTGTCGATGATAAACTTGGGTGTTGCTCATGATAATGATGGTGAACTTGGTTACCATTTGAATATTTAATTTTTTTCAACCCTTCTAATTTTGGCATTCGACGTGAATAATGATTAGATCGTTTACTTTTTTTCAACTGACGAGTAAACTTTCCACTTGTATTTTCATTAGTTAATTGATCATTATTATTTATATGATAAATGAATGGTTTATATTGGTCACTGAATTCAGATGAAACACTATTCAAATTTGATATATTCGTTTTCAAATGAACACATGAGGAGGGGAGAGAAAAAATTCCGTAAATAGAAGAAATGGATTGTTCTCTTAAAAAGTAACTCAATAAAAGATATTAGATTAACTTTAAATGAAACTACTGTTTTTTCTTTTTTTTTAAGTGATTCAGGAGCCAGTTGTAACAGCTGTAACATTTGATCGAAAAAAGACACTATTAATAGCCGAATAGAAAAAGAATGTTCATCTACTAACTGAATACTGGTTTTGAGACGAATTTCTTCAGATTTCTGAAACAAAGTTGCGTTACTTCAATACAGCTAATTACTTAGAAGTCCAGAAGTCACTTGTCGACAAGAAAGGATAAAATATTACATAAGGACCTAATTATTGTATCAAAGGTACCATGTTAATCAGAAAATCCATAAGTTCTTGGTTTTGATCTTCTGTGAAGTCATGACTATGTACACTTGATAAATCTCATACAAATGAAAAACAGTTACATAATGATACGTAATCAGTCAGCAAATCACCTGAACGTGAGTTCGAATCTCACGAGGCGGGACCGTAGATGCGTACTGTCGAGGAGTCCCACAATAGGACAAAACGGCCATCCAGTGCTTCCAGGTTTTCCATGATGGTCTAGCTTGAATTGAATCATGATCTCAACCATTAAAATTTTTTGAAATTATCAAGTCAAAGCTTCATAATGTTACCTACACTAACAAATGAGTTTTTTATTGTTACTAATATATAACATTACATTTTTCATCAATAAAGTATAGATTACTTTGTATTATTCTATGAGAATAAATTGATGGAAAAATATTTATCAGGGAAAAGGTTGTATGTAAAAACCAGTCAAATATTTTTTCTATCGAAATGGAAGGTAGATATGTTTATTCTCTAAATGTTTAACAGTGAATATTCGTAAAATGAATTAATTTTGTACAAAAAAACTAATTCATTTGTTTAGCTGATTATTTAGGAATCACTCCAAAGACGTCTTCTTTTAAAGTAACTTACAGAGTCAAAGGAATGAAATCGAAGGGATGTTGGATCAATATTTTAGGCACTGCTGAGATATTGGCAATCCACGAATAATTAATATCATTGTCAGCTTCAAATTATAAAAGCTAAATTCAAATTAACTTGACATCTGATATTATAATCATTTTTTCTCAGATTCATTGGTTGAACAGACTAACTAAACACTCTATTTATCGGTGTGAATCAGTAAAATTTAGTAAATTTAAGCAAATTTCTGTTACTGTAAATCTATTGCATTGCTAATTTTTTTCCATAATCATAAAGGATTATTGGTATCAGATGTGGTTTTGTGGATATTATAATAATTTTATTAGTTGAGATCATGAGTCAATTGAGGTTAGACCAATATAGAAGACCTGGAAGCACTGGATGGCTGTTTCGTCCCATTGCGGGACTCCCCGACAGTGCGCATTCACTATCGCGCTTCGCGAGATTCGAACCCAGGCCTCAGGAATCTCGCGAAGCGGGATCATGAATGCTCACCGCTAAGAAGTACCACAACGGAATTATTAGTTAGATATTGATTTTTTTTTCATTAATTTTCATAAATTACTTAATTAAAGTTTATTCTAAATGATATATTATATCATATGGTTTGAAAGTTAATTTATTTGGTACCTTCAAATTCATATATTTACTTTTGTTAAAGTTTTTTCTTTGATGAAACATTCTAAACTATAAAATCATTAATATTTTAGGCATGTATTATAAGTACTCACTTATAAAAATTATAATATTCATCCAATTGACTTTTCTCTTGTAATGTTTGTTTTCTAGTCATTGGTTTCTGTTCATTTGGATATGAAGTAATCGAATCAGCTATTCGTTGTTTAGATGACATTGAATAATCAGATAATAAACATGTTGATGATGTCAACGGTAATGTAAATGGTGGTGTAGAACAAATTGGTGATATACTTAAATCACTGTTTTCTAATATCATTTTATTTAACATTTCAGTTCTATTTAAATAATTATAATAATTATAATGATTATCACTATTATTATTATTATTATTATTATTATTATTATTATTATTATTATTATCCATATATGAGAAATAGGGTGAATAATTTTCATAATTTGAATTATTCTCATGTGTATTTTTCATTAAATTCATTTGTGATTTAACAAATTCATAATCTGTTCCATTTGGCATAGTATTTAATATTGACCAATCATGTTGAATATTTTGATTGTTACAATATCGATTAGTTTTATCATTAAATTGGTTATGATGTTGATGATGATAAATTTTCTCAGTGGATTCTAATAAATGATTTGATATTTCTGGTATTTCAGTACATTGAAATTCACACAATGAAGAAGATGTTTCAGAATAATCTATTTTATAAGAATATATAGGAAAAAAAACAAGAAATGTACACCTAACCAAAATAAAAGAATGATATATTTATGATATCCTAATGAGTAGAAGTTTCAGTTTCTGACGTTTGTCAACTTAGTGTAAGTTGCTTTTTCATTGAGTAAATAAATAACGGGATTGAATTGGTACAAGTTTAAACAGTATAAAAGAACAAGCAGAAAAGTTAATTTAATCAAAATCGGATTTTTACACTGAATGAAAGTGTAGCGTTGAAGTTGATGTACCGATTTAATTGTGCCGATTTTCATTAGACGTTTAAATTTAGATCGCTGTTAGAATTCCTCTAAGTAAACAGTATAAAAATAGATCATGATGTTCATCTTCCTTCTCAAAAATGAATTTTACATAATCTGAGAAGGTATTTATCACTTTAGAGAAATTTCTATAATTTTTTTCATATTACAGAATTCATATTTTACACATCTACCAGGATATGTGCAAATACACATAGTGGTGTCTCACAGATAATCACCTTAATCAAAATGACATTAACCAATTTTTATTATCAGTTCAAATTCTTCATGTTTAACTTTTTCTACTACCATTGATACCATTACTGACTCTACTATTCTAAGGTTCATCTTGATAATTTCATTTCCCCTTACTTACATAGTATAGCAATTTAAACCTATACATATAATGTTCTGTGAATCACTTTTTAAAAAGATTAAACTCAATATGATAATATTTAATAATGCTACAAAAAAACGACTTGGAGATTTCCATAAGTTCTTAATATGTATGAATGAAGAGTTGTTTCAAATTAACTCAAGTTAAGATTTCGACTAAATTACATGAAGGCAATTTTCTTATAAAATTCTGATTATGTCTGAAAAAATTAGTATTTTCAGAAATAGAAGTGAAATCAATCTTCGTTAATGCTATTTCTTGAACATACATACATAGGGAGGAGCAATCGTGATCTCAAAATTAGGATGTGTGAACATGTACCAAAATGGTTGCGGAAACAAATAGAATCAAGTGACCCTATAAGAGTAGAGGATAAACACACATCATCCTCTATTGCTAAACATATAATGGAAGCAGGCCATAACACGGCTTTTGTGGTGTTGTATAAAAGTGTAAAAGGGCGTACACTAAGGTTTATTGAAGCCTTAGCCATACGAAAATTCAAACCTCCTTTGTGTATCCAAAAACAGTTTGTTGTCACCTTGAACCTACCCTCATTATTATCCAGAGTGATGAGGTTTCAAATTGTGCTCACATTATTATTATTACTACTTTTCTTACTATCCTTGTCTCCTCTTACTCTCCATTTCTAGTCTAGTTGACCTTTTATTTTTATATACAAATGTCCTTAACAAGTATATATGTGATCAGATTGTTCGAAATATATTGCGCTAATATATCACATAGTTCTGACAATCTTCATCTTCTTATTACATTATCGCACTTTTCTCACTGTCTTATATTAGAATGTTAGTTAACTAACATGATATAATTGTTAACCAATTTTTTTAAATAACTAGATATCATCACGCTATTCTGTACACATTTGATAAAACATCCTAACTTCAGTCGATTAAACACAATATACAAGAAGAAGCTACGAACAATTAACTTTCAACTTCCTAAACCTCAAAGATTACTACTACATACTAAAGTCTATGCAGACTGACTTATATAAAGTTATGTACTAAACATTAATGAAATGTCTTAAAAATCAAGTAAATTATTTAAATATTATCTAGGGTAATTTCATTTAAATGTACATATGCATAAATAAATTCATTTAGTTCAAGTTACAAATATTAAGTTTAACTTCATTCATACTCTACAAATTAGTTTCATTGTTCCAAGTAACTATGAAAAATAAAGTCACATGATATTTCAAGTCATAAAGATTAATAATAATTTTCTAAAGTATACAGTTTTTGGATAATAAACTAAGTTTATTTAAGTGAAACTCAAATTTTTCATTAATTTCATACATTCTCTAACTATATTTATATTAAAAGTTAATACTTGTTTTCAACTTGTACCTCCCTAGCTCTCTCCCTTCCCCCCCTCTCTCTCTACATATATATATATATATATATATATATATCGATCTTTAATTTGTAAATCGTTTTTTTTTTGCCTAACATGGTTAGATATAACAAAAATGTAAATACTCTAAATATATTTATATATTGGTGTATGATGCCACTTTATAGATTTAAATGTCCACTGAATGTATTCATGTTAATTTGTATGCGTATACATGAAGTACATATATTTATAGTTTATTCAATGTGTCATCGAATAACTAATTGTACATCTATTTTAGAATACATAAACTTAATTATTTTACATGAATAGAATACATATAAGTACAAATATGATATCTGTTTATATTTAAGTATGTAGTTAAAATGAACAAATTAGCCTTTATTATTCGATTGATAAAGAATGTTTTTCTTTTTTTTTCTATTTAGAAATAGATAATAAGAAAAATCTTAACATTGATGATCGTGATAATGTTTAGTTAATTGTAATGGCTCAACAATTATCCAGGTGATGACGATGACAATAGTGATGGTGGTGATGTCTAATTTATTTACTAATGGTTATTATAGAAATACCTCTGAGAAGAGGGAATAGGTAGAAAGAGAAACAGATCTTCCAGGTGTCTTGTAAAACTTTTATTATAAAGATTCGATCTGAAAATTATTCCGTTAAGCTTTAATATTGCACGTGCATATTTATAGTTAATTCGTGAATAGGGGTAATAGTGATAATAACTAAAAATTAGCTTTAAAAAAAGAAGTATAATGTTGATTTGGTCAGTTCTAATTTGTTCGATTCATGAATACATTTCCATCAATGTTACCCCCCCCCCCTCAAATGTACGCATAAATATAGTTATTTTACTTTCTGTCATCCTTTTATTCACTTCTCTCTCACACACACACTCCCTCAATATGAAAGGTCATCTAAAAAACTATTTTCTGACTAAGGAGATTATTTATTCAGAGCTACTTTGTCAAAAAAAAGAATTAGTAATTATGTTGATTTGTCCATACATACCTATTTATACTTGTACTAATATGTAGTTATATGCATATATTAATACAACACATCAAAACATTGTAGTAGGATAGTAAATTAATAGTAAACTTGATCCAATACATAAAATCTTGAACATTAAAGAATAATATAAATACATTAACAATTATACATGAAAAATTTACAACACTAACATTTTGAGACACAAGACATAATTCAAAAACTTAACTAATATATAAAAATTTATTCGAAATATTTTAAAGATATAAGAATCAAACAAATCATCATCATATCTTCTATACCTTTTCATAGTCCGTCATCTTTTCCAGTTTACTGAAATAAACTGACATCTAATCAGATAAATTAATGTTTAGCATTATTTTTTTTGTCTATCTCTCTATAAAGAAAAAATAAACCTTTTTTGAATACAATAACAGGAACTTGACAGAAACAAATAGTTCTGAAACTATATTACAGAAGTTAAAATAGACACGAGTCATTCACCATGTAGAGTTAATGAGAATAGGCATTACAATTTTTATTATTTATTTATTTGTTGTTAATATTAATAATGTGGATAATTTTATTTTTGTGAGAATTTTCTGGTTTTTTTTCTACTTTTACGTTTGTTTATTGAATGAATAAAACGAATTCTGACTATCGAAATGTAATAATAATAATAATAATAATAATAATAATAATAATAATAATAATAATAATAATAATAATTACTATTATTATTATTATTATTAATGTCATCAATGGTAATTTTGATAAAACCATGTTGTTAAACTTATAGATACTTAAAAATCCTTTAACTTATATCTTAAGCGTTTTTATTTCAATAACAACATAAAATTGATAAGTTTGAGAAAATATCAGTACCATTATGAACTGACAGTGAAGAATAGGGAAGACGAAACATTGAATAACTGGGTTTTTTTCCACATTTTTGTGATACTTTAAAAATACAAAACTATAAGCTTATACACGATTAAATGTGGGATCCTTAAACCTCATAATCATTTCAGTACTACCTAGGTACTAAGCTAAAATTCAAATATTACTTATGAATTCCTATTTCATTCTATGGCCGATGAATGTTACAGTTCATAGCTATCTGGTGGTCTCAGTCTTCAGGTTACCGAAGGTATCATATAGCTTAACTTCTGCTGAAAAAAATGATAAGAAACCCTGTTCAGTGTGCGAAAAAAACATTCTACAGACAATCTAAGTTTGCTTTTCTGTTTTTTTCTAATAGAAATAAAACATGGTTTCAGTAGATTGGGTCTATACACTAGCCAACAGTGATTTATATCACAAAAATTTAAGATTTGATGCACTGATGAAGCCGTTGATGGAGTATAATTATCCCTCGACAACTATTTCACTTTTGTCTCAGGTCATCAGGACGAGTAGTTAGCCATTTCTGAAAAAAATTCACTACTTTTTTAAAAGTATGTACTGATCATATTATCTAGAAAAACAATGACAGCTCCATAACTAAATCATTCGTTACAGAGAATATAACACCTACAAAATATGCCAGTGATTACGGGTAAAGAATAGTATATTGCACTTCAGTTGTAACAAAAGTGTGACTGCTTTTACAAATAAACTGAAACTTAGATGAGATAGTAATAACACATAACACTAAGGCGGAGATAGTCTCCTGCTTGGAGATGAAAGTTACCAGACCCAATCGCCTGTAATGTCTAATTTATCAGTCAGTCAACTTTTAATATATTAAGACTAGTATAAGAAAACAAGCAACTAACAGAATTATATATATATATATATATATATATATATATACCGTTACAAATACCTTGACGTAGTGGTCGTAATGAACCAATCGAGCTGTACTGGCTGGAACAATCGTTCCTCAAGGTCCTACCTTGCCAGACAGGTTGGTTGAAGAGTGGTAAGACTAAAACCAGCAAACCCA